ATTATATTGGCACAAAATATTATTATAGTCACTATCTATCAATTGAACTTTATTGAATTCACAGTAAAATTATTTATTTATATCGATGATTATTTGCTTACTATTACTTATTAAAAACTTTGTATCAAATCTCGGCCGAGTCTGGATGACTCATTTCAACACTATATCAGGCAGATCACAGATACAGGTAAAATAAATTTTTTCTAACCTTAAAAACTTGGTGAAAATCCGTAAAAATTCAGGAAAATGTAGTGGGAAAAAATCAAACAAATTTTTTTCTTATGTATAACACTATAAGCTAATGTAAATTAGTCTGATAAACTCAAAACACCCATCAGAATTGAGCTAGCATGTCTCATATTTTTTCTAATCTGAAAAAACCTACCACAAGTCATGATTTTCGAAAATCGCACGGATCTTAACCAAAACCGGTATACCTAGGTGAGTCTTAAGTAAGTGCAAATATTTTCAGGGCTGGTATATTTCGACCCCAGGAACACGTCTATGAGTTTTTTTTCGCAAAAATAAGATGTTGAAAATCGTGCATTTTCTTTTAAATTTCCCTGTATATTTTTCGAAAACTTTTTAGAACTGCCTGTTCACCACAAATTTTCCCACGGTAATTTCTTAATCTCTGATATTACCATAGTTACGGCTTTACTCTATGGTTACGGCACTGAAAGGGATGCAATTAGGGATCGGCCAGACAAGAAATCTTGTCTTGACAAGCAGTTTCTTGTCTTGTCTTGAAATATTTTCAAGAATTAAAAAAAAATCTTGTCTTGACCATTTCTTGAGAGTTGATTTCTTGTCTTGATTCAAGAAATCTTGAAATTTCTTGGTATCTTGACAAAAGGGGAACCCTCGTTTAAGATTCGTTTATTAAAGGGGAACCCCCTGTTTAAAAGTCGCGGTGAGAGTGGTTAATGTGATGTTTATGCTTTACGCGTAAAATCGAGGGTCAGGCATCTAATTTTCAAAAAATTCAAAAACTTTGGGCTCATTATACTACAGTAGCCAAAATCATCAGATTTATATTATTTTGTTAATTATTATTATTATTATCTAACATTAAAATGAGTGATTGTGATGGTTCGTTGAGCAGCAAATCTGAGCCATTCGTAATTATTGAATTTGGTTCAGAATACCTACCACCTCAGACACCTGGACGTAAAAGTTTAATTAGTGACTTTGACAGTAGTGACGGTGATAATACTACTACAGATAAAAACAGTCAAAACAACAATAATAAAAGCTACTCTACTTCAGTGGCGTACATTAAAATGTATTATTTTTTTTTATTTTAAAAGTTTTACGCTAATTCAAAAAGTCTGTATGCCACTGAAGTAGACCCGCTTTGCAAAGTTTTTTTTTATTCTAATATCGTAGGCCATAACATATCCAAAAAAATATAAAAAATAACATTTAAAAATTAAAAAATTATTAGGCATTAAAAAGGGTTCCAATTTAATTTGGCCCGCAGTATGCCAACTTGGGACATCCGACTTTGGACGTACATACTTACATAATATGTCAACTTTGGACATCCCACAAAGTGCCGCTTCGTACAAATATTTTTTGCTTAATAATTTTTTTATCCATCAATTAATGGATATGGATATTCATATAATATATAAATACCTAAGTAAATGAGTATTTCTTTTTTATTTTATATTTTCAAGAAATTTCAAGATTTTCTTGATTTCTTGTCAAGAAATCTTGATCTTGAGAAGTAATTTCTTGTCTTGAAAACCAAAAATCATTTCTTGTCTTGATCTTGTCTTGAGTTCAAGAAGTTGTCAAGAAAATGACGACCTCTAGATGCAATTACAGAAAAAATCCGGTGGCTCTTTTTTCAAAAAAAAAATATTTTTTTTTACTTTTCAAAGTTAAATAACTCGGTTATTTTGGACTTATCTGAAAAATGGTGAAGGGAAAATATGTTACTTTTATCGAGATCTACCACCCTGAAAATATTTGCACTTATTTAAGACTCACCCTGTATAAAAATAGCCTACCCTATGGGCACGGGACCGATTCGAATCGGGCCAACACCGTTCTTGAGGCCGTCAATATGGGATCCGCCATGTTGAATTTTGCCAATCCGACGCCAGATTCGTGATCAATGACCCATTTTACTTCAGATTCGCGATCAGCGACCCATAAAACTCCCACATACTGATTTTGTTCGAATCCGTGTTTTTTTGAAATTCGCGTAGGCCATATTTGATCCGCCATTTTGAATTTTGCGAATTCGGCAAATGGATTTTTTAAATAAATCGAAGCAGATTGAAATGCTCTTTCAAACTATATTAGGAATTCCTATACCGATCTATCTCAGATTTTGAATAAAAAGCGATTTTAAATAAAATGGCAATCAAGGCTGGTATCGCCATGGCAATTTTCTAATGACAGTTAGTAACTATTTTTAAAATCGACATTAGTTTATAGACATTAATATTTAAACAGTTTACTAAAATTTACCCACAATAGTTTAATAAGTAAGTATTCTTTATTTTATGAAGAAAAATAAAGCCGTATCTGCGGACCGAATGGATATGTTACTAGTGATTTTATTTAGTGAGGAAAATTGGATTGGCTTCAAGAGCTTATGCTCAAATATATCCAAATAGGAATCTTCTTGATAAGTGTTCCTTTGAAAAACTACTTGTCCTATTTCCTATTTCGCAGAGTTGATAGTGTTGTTTATAAAAAAAACCTATTAGGCAGAAACCTGTCGTTGGAAGTGAAGAAATTGAATTTGCCGTAATTGGCTCTTTTATAAGAAAATCCATATATCTACAAGATATCGTAAAATAAAACAAAGAACTACTTCTTCGTTTTTCTTGCTAGAATAATAAATACATATTCATAAATATTGTTTATTAAACTATTGTAGGTAAGTTAAATAAAAGTAAACTGGTATAAATTTAAATAACGTCTATAAACTAATTTCGATTTTGAAAATATTTACTGTCACTAGAAAATTACCATGGCGATACCAGCCATCTTGATTGCCATTTTATTTAAAAATCGCTATTTATTCAAAATCTGAGATAGATAGGTATAGGAAACCCTAATATAGTTTGAAAAAGCACTTTATTCTGCTTCGATTTATTTAGTTGCATTTGAATTAACAAAGTTTTTGTGTAAAATAAATCTTTAAAATAGATCACCAAATTTTGGTACCCCTGTATAAATTTAGGGAAGCAATAACAATTTTCAGTAAAGTTTATTTCTTTACCTTTAAACTCAGCACAAGAATTAATTCTGAAAAGCAATGTACAGGGTGTTAATAATCAATCCTTTTGTAGCATGCATATTTAAATATCTTTAAATATCTCAAAAACCAAAAATTTTAAACATATTTAACCCTTATAATAAATGCCTTTTTTTGGGCCCAAGAATCCAAAAATTAAATACAATACCGGGTGTTTCATAAGAAAAAATATAACTTTGTTATGGATCTTAGTTCTGAGACTATATTTCAAAATAATTCTAAATTATGCACATTGCCTCCCCACATATACCCATAAAATATTTTGTTTCTACATCTTTCCGTTCTCGTATAATCAACCGAGGCGAATGAGGTGCGTCACCCTGTATATATACCCTATACCGGTTTGGGGTTTGGGTCAAGATCCGTGCGATTTTGGAAATTTGCATCTGCCATATTGGATCCACCATTTTGAATTCTGCCAATCCCATATCAGATTCATAATCAGCAACCTTAAAAACCCCCCTATACTAGTTTTGGTCAAGATCCGTACGATTTTCGAAAATCATGACTTGTGGTAGGTTTTTTGAGGTTAGAAAAAATATGAGACTTGCTAGCTCAATTCTGATGGGTGTTTTGAGTTTATCAGGCCCATTTACATTAGCTTATAGTGTTATACATAAGAAAAACATTTTGTTTTATTTTTTCCTATTACATTGTTCTGAATTTTTACAGATTTTGACCAAGTTTTTGAGGTTAGAAAACAATGAGATGTAATGCGCAATTCTGGGCCCGTATTCTGTAACTTTGACATAAAAACGTTACGCTTTCAAAACGGTGAGCGCAAGTATTCAATCAGCGAAACGCAAGGCAGTCGATTTTGGTATTCTCGTTCCCATGCGAATCGTGTTCTGGATACGCGTTGAGCACATATTAGCAACATCACAATTTTTAATGTAGCTAATAGTCAAAAGTTGATAACTGACGGATGTAACAATGAAAAATGTCAATGTTACATGAATTTCATAACCTATTGTTGAGTTATGTCAAGCTGTTTTTCTATGGATATGTCATTATTCTTATTATACGAGGGAAGTGTTGAAGACGCTTCTCAGCATTTTCGATGTTTTGAACAATATTTATAGCTGCCAAGTCGTAAATTATCAATTGGTTATTGAGGAATTTATAGAAGTAGTAATTTTCACTAAAGAGCAAGATAACGCACAAAATCACAATTTTTTCGATTTTCACTGACAGTTCGACAAGCTAAACGATCCTTTAAGGCAACCGTTTTCAAAGCGCTCAGCGCAATCAGTATAGACGCTAAGCGCGTCAGACGAGAATACCGAAATCATTAATTAAGTGCGCGCTCAGCGAAAATTATCGTCATATACGCTCAGCGTCTAAAAGCGGTTAGCGTTTTCGAAGTTACAGAATACGGGCCCTGATAGCGGATTCGTGCTCAGCGTCGAAAAATACTATAGGATATGATGGTTTGGTAAAAAGTACCTCAGTTTTCTTTTTTCGTGTGTCTGTGAAATTTGATAAATCTTCTGGTAGAAAAGGAAGCTCTAAGTTTCTCATACCCCCAATTTCTATTATGAAAATGTAAAGAAAACAACGGAACACTTTTTTGTAAGTGTACGGTACAATTTTACAAACAGAATCTTATAGATTTCTAAATATGAATTTATGAATCATAATTTATTTAATCAATCATGATACAAGATATCAAAATAATGTTATCGTATGAAGCTAAATTATTATCTTATATATTGATTTACTTTTGACTCGATAATCTAGTAGGTACCTAACTATCTTTAAATCCAACTTGTAACTTGTGCCTAAAGAAAAATATTTATATTCTTATATCTACAATGTCTAAAAACGTAAATATTCTTCTTGTGTTATCATTCGTATTGTTCATATATTTAAATTCAATTTATTCACTACCAATTGAAGTTATATTGAAAGGAAGAAATAATTCGATAGATAAACCAACAGATGGTGCTTTAGCTAGTATTATTAATGTCCCATGTAAAGAGGGTTACATTTACATAATGGGAGAATGTAGAAAAATTTATGAGAGAATTAATTGAGGTTCTATATGAACGTAAGTATTTATTTTCTTTCAAATGAGATATTAACAGATAATTAATTACATTTCTTTCAGGTGTTCTTAGTTGCAGTGTTTCTATCTTTGACTCCAAGTAAATTTGTATTTTTTGTTATTTTTGTTTATTATGCTGCATATTAATAATAAATAATAATACAATTTAAACACATTTTTTATTAAATTCAGTAACGTTACAAAAATCAGTACAATTTAAATAAATTTATTTTTTTTATATAATACCTTTAAAAGAAGTTTTCCCATTCCATATATGATTATTATAAATTTGTTCCCCCAAGCTCCCAAACCGGTCAGAAACTTCTTCAAACTCTGAATAGAATGACATATCATATGTCAACTTTTGGCATTTTCGAATATGGTTTATTTGAAATTGTAACATGTGGTTCATCAGAACAATTTGACTCGAAATACCAAGTGTGTGGTACCAAATTATTGTTAAAAATGCTTTTTCCAAATATACTAATGCCACCCTCATTTCATTTGTAAAAAAAATTGAGATATGATTAAAATACGATTTGGGTATCTTTTAACCGGCCAGGACAAGACATTAAAAACATTAGACGATCAAATATATTTTTCCAAGGCTCCTTGATTCAAAATTAGGGTTTTAACACAGGCATGGCGGAAAACGTAGATATAGGTTAATGATTTCTGAAAATTCGACTTTTCAAGTGGAGAAAGATACGTCTAAATATTTTTCGATACCGTTTGATAGAGAATTATCCCGTGGTCTAAAAGGAATTTTTAAAAGTGTCAATTATAAACTTGTGTATAGTGCTAATAATAAATTACAACAATTATTAGGTAATCCAAAGGATAAAACACCTCCACTGGAAAGGTCGGGTATTTATGAAATTTCTTGTAAAGATTGTAATCAGAAATATGTTGGGCAAACTAGAAGATCAATATTAACTAGATTTAAAGAACATTTAGCTCAGATAAGAAATGGTAGACCGGATAAATTTTACATTGCCGAACATATTGTTGATAAAGACCATTGTATAGATCTTAATAATTTAAAATTAATTAAACAAGTCTCAAATTACAGGCAATTAGATGCATATGAAAGCATCAGAATTAATAAATGTAAAGATAGTATGAACAGAGACAACGGTCCAATTCCTTCAAGTCCTTTGTTCCTACTACTCTAGTGGCGGAAATCTAACTGTTACGCTCAGTGGGCTCTGACTTGGTTGGCTAGATTTTGCCACGCCCACTCGGTGCCCACTGGGCGAGTATATAAACGCTCAACTTGTAGATTGTACTTTAGTTTATAATCATCTGCTGATGATGCTAACATGGTTAGCGAAACGCGCGTCCAGTGTAAAAGTAAAAGTGTATTGTGGTGAATTAGTGTTTCTATTTTGCTGTGTAACACCAAAGGTTCCAACCCTCAACTGTAATCATGGCACTCTAGATTGAAATTTAAAATATAATTTTGTGTTAAGCGAAAATGACAGAGAAAGTTGACATATAATATGTCATTATACTCAGAGTGTAATTTTTTAAAAAAATACCGAGGGTGCTATTCAAAAATCAAAAGTTGTAGTCATTTCCGGTAAAAAAGGAAATGGCCGAAAAGAATTGAATACGTCAATCAATCCTAATTCATGTCATATACTAACGAACAAAATCTCGTTTTTATCTGAAAAAATAAAAAAGTTATAGGGGTGAGCCACTTTTGAGACGCACGTAGTATAACAAGTGGTTTTACACTCAAATTTAAGATTTTTCAAAAAGTTGAGTTAATCGAATTGTGCAATTAACGGCATAATATGGTTTTCAATAACGGAATCTATTGTAGTGAGCCACTGAGCCCTCTGCTATATTGTTATTTTATATCATTAATAGATTAATGATACTAAGAAATTAATGTTTTTACTTTATCTTATTTTAGGAATGTTGAGTCATTACAATTTGTTTACATTTTTCGGTATTTTACGAGTAGTTTTTATTTTATATAGGTACTTCAAGTATAGGCGTTGTGTAGGAATGAGTTAAATAATTAAGAAAGGGTACTTGATATAATAACTATTATCAATTAATGAAAACTGGAAATCTCAACAAGTTTACATATTCTTCAGAAATAGATCTTTTAGCTAATTTATTAAATTAATAATAATAATCGACAGTTGTACGAATGAGTTTTGACTGCTTTGGTTTCATTTTTTTTAGTAATTATCGTTCTTTAAATTTGACTGCTTTAAATATCACGGTTTCAAATATTTACTAACCTAATCTAACCTAACCTTCTTATGATCAAACGGTTTAATATAGGTCTCTAAATATTTCTTCAACTTTTTGATTCATCAATAATCTCTATACTAATATATAAAATCTGACTGACTCTGATTAATCACGATCCTGATCAAACCACTCAAAGTAAGAAGCTCAATTTTGGCATACAGGTTGATTCTAGGGTGTGGGAGGTTCGATAAAAAGGGATTTTTCGAAATTCCAGTTCGAAAGGGGGTGAAACCACCCCTCAAATATTACAATATTTTTTATTTAAAAAACGGTCAAGTTTCCGAAAAAACGCTTAACACGTGTATTTTATTTTGTTTTTTTACATATTTTAAGATTTTTTAAAAATGTATACAGGGTGTTTCGAAAAATCTGGTCATTAATTAATCACGATCCTGCTTAAAGCGCTTGACGTAGAAAGCTGATTTTTGGAAAACGGATTGACTTTAGGGTGTAGAGGTTCGATAAGAAGGGATTCTTCGAAACTCGAATTCTAAGGGGGTGAAACCGCCCCTCAAATATTAGAATATTTTTTATTTTAAAACCGATGAGTTTTTCGAAAAAACTCTTATATTTTATTTTGTTGTTTTACATATTTTAAGATTTTTTAAAAATTTATACAGGGTGTTTCATAAAATATGACCATTGAGTAATCACGATTCTGACTAAACTGCTTGACGTTTAAAGCTGATTTTTGGCAAACGGATTGACTGTGGGGTGTCGAGGTTCGATAATGTTGCTTAGGGCTCGATTGTTTTTTCTCATGCTGATATAAATGTAAGAAAATTTTATCCAGTTTGTATGTTAATGGAAATTCTTGCTTTGCTTTATTATCACCATTATATATATATAATATATAAATTCGGGTAAGAACGTCCTACGACGTTGTCCGATGCCTAACTTCCACCCTGTGCGATTTTCCCATCGATCTTCGGTCAGATTTTTCTCGCTCATCGACCTTCTTATTCCTTCCATCCATGTTTTCTTGGGACGTCCTCTCTTTCGTTTACCAGGTGGTATCCAATGAATTACTTGTTTTGGAATTCTTTCATTGTGCATTCTCTGAACGTGGCCGTACCATATTAATTGTTTTTGTTCTATACCATTTACTATTGTTCCCTCTATTCCCATCTGTTGTCTAATGTCTTCATTTCTGATCTTATCCCTCCGTGAAATTCTCATTGCTCTTCTAATCGCGTCCATTTCTGTTGTCTCTAATTTCCTTTTATTCCTTTCAGTGAGTCGCCATGTTTCACATCCATAGAGTAATATACTTTTAACTAGTGTCTCGTATATATTATATTTCCTGTTTTTTGTAATTTCAGTGCTCCATAGAATGCCATTTATGCATCTGATAACTCTTCGTGCCTGTATTACTCTGTTGTTTATTTCTCTATCGTCCGTTCCATCTCCTGTAAATATCGATCCCAGGTACCTGTAATCTTCACATGCCCTAATTTCCATATTATTGTCTAAAATAAGATTTTCTGTATTAGCTCCAATTGGAAGGTATTTTGTTTTTTCTGTATTTACTGTGATTACCATTTAGCATATTCTTCAATTATTTTCCGCACCATATATTCCATGTCATCTTTGTCGTTTGCAATTATGGCCTGGTCGTCTGCAAATTGCAAGGTGTATAGGCATATGTCATTTAGTTCTATACCCATTCCGTTACATTTTCTTTTCCATAGATGTAAGGCCTTGGCAATATAAATTTTAAATAGTGTTGGGGATATACAGCAACCCTGTCGGAGCCCTTTAGTGATAGAAATTTCCTCTGAGAGACCGTTAACCGTTTTTATTTGTGATTTTTCTCCATGGTAAAGATTCTGTACAGCTTTTATCAGAGCTGCGTTAATTCTTGATTCGTGCAATACTTCCCATAATTTTAATATTGGCACTGTATCATATGCTTTTTGTAGATCGATGAATGTTATATGAACTTCCTGGTTCATTGCAGATTTCTTCTCGATGATCTGTTTCAATGCAAAGATATTATCTGTACATGATCTTCCGTTTCTGAAACCATTCTGCTCTTCTTCTTCGTAGCTGGAGTATTCCTCTTCAATTAAGTTCCTCAGTATCCTTCCATAGAGGCGACTCATAGTGCTGGTGACCGAAATTCCCCTGTAGTTATTGGGATCCTTCCTTGAGCCCTTTTATATATAGAGGAGATATATGCTTTTTTCCACTGTTCAGGTACTGGATGACCATTTAAGCACTGGTTAACTATGTTTATTAACATTCTAAACAGTTTTTTGCTTCCAGATTTTATGAGTTCCGCATATACTCCCTCTGGGCCACATGCTCTTCCATTCTTTAAAGACATTATAGCGGTCTTTATTTTGTTGGTATCCACGTATATTTCCTCTCCTTCAATGTTTATTTCTGGCTGTGGCGGTTCTTGATACTCAGGTCTGTTCTCTGACAACAATTTAGAATAATATTTCACCCATTCTTTGTTGGTTATTATTTCTATAAGGGCTGACTCCTGGTTTTCAGTTGTTGTTGTTTTTATAAATCTCCATACTTCCGTATTCCTTCTTCCGCCTATATACGTATTAATTTCTTTGCATTTGTCATCCCACACTTTATTCTTTTCTTCTTTTACCATTCTCCTCACCCCATTTTTCTTGTCATTATAAGTGCGCTTGTCCAGTTCAGATTTCGAATTTAGCCATTTCAAATACAGTATCTTTTTTTCCTCTACAAGTTTTTCAAGTTCATCAGTCCACCACAACTTTCTGCTCTTTCGTCTCGCTTTTATTCCTAATGCTTCCTCTGCGGCTCCATGAATACTGTCAATTATATTATTGTATGTTAGGTGAAAAGGCCTTTCCGAATCTTCTATAAGTTTTTCATCAAGCCTGTTCTGGTAAAGATATTTGACGCCGTCATGT